AAAAAAAAAAAAAAAAAAAGAACGGGGGGGCTTAGTCAACAAAGGGGCAAAAATGTTTTACCCTCCAGCCATAATAGGGGTTCAAGGAAAACCCCATCAAATCTCCTGCAAAAGAAAAAGAAAGTTATAGAGAAAATTGAGAGGAAACAGAAAAGAGTCGCCGTGAAGTTCATCGGACCACCGTCGGAATCAACCTTCAGACGAGGCTTGTACAAGGACTGAGAGGCTAGCGAGGCCGACGCTCCGTCAAGATCCAAGAACGATTCGTGAGGTAAGGTTCTAAACAACATTTTCATATATGAGCTTCTCCTATGTGAATCGAGTCCTAAAATGTTGATTTATTCACCTAGGAATAACTCTACACTCTATTTGAAAAGAAGTTTGGCCAAAATCTCAACCCGAAGGCGGAGATCCAAGAATCGTTCGAGAACGGTAAGCGAATTACTGATGCTCTTAACTTGTCCGGTAGTTAAGCAAAAAAATTACGAAAAAATACCAGGACGTAGCCCATAACACGATCTAGAACCTTGCCGAAGAAATCATATCGATCCGAACTACGATCAAAAGATATGAAAATTGGAAATGAGACTCTATGTTACGGATTGCAGAGGATAGAGAGAGAAAAAAAAAAGGTCGGCAAAAAAAGGTCGGCCAGCGAGCGACAGAGGGCGGCGCGACAGGTGTCGGACGCGTCGACCGTCAACTGGAGCAACACAGCTCTAGTGAGACAACGACACATATCGCCTACAAAGCCCGAGCCAAACCGCAAACTTGAGCCGAGCCGAGTCAAATCGGATCGGCCGACCCGCGACTGCGCAGAAGCTGCCGTGCATGATAGGTGCGCATGTGGCCTGCGACTGGCGCACTTCCGCACGTGTGTGCACGCGTGAAACAGCCGTTTTGGCCCGTTTTCCCTCTATTTGCCCAATTGTTGTCCCGCTTCCAGTTCTAATACTGTTTTTATGTGAATAGGGACCTAATTTAAGGAAATCAGTATTTTTGGACGCCTCACGGGCATAGAAACGCTATAAAAAAGGCACGCGTCAACCAGGTAAGTCACCACCCGGTATTTAGGAAGAAATACTTGTATGATTCGCTTGGATTGCATGCATGCTAGTACCTTTGCCTTAGATTAGCTCTCCATTTATGAGATTAGTCAGATTGATTGTTATGAGTGTATTGGGTGAAATTATCTAAGTGTTGCTTGTATGATTTAAGCTTCCGTCGTACGTATGATGCGTTTAATTTATGTTAGAATTGTGTATTCCGCATTCCGGGCGCTTGATGGATGAGTTCGTCCCATTGAGCACGAACTTCGTGTTCTGGGTGCTTGATGGAGGCCATTGCCCCGTTGAGTCGACGTGCCGAGCTTGCATGAATTATATATTTTGATGTTAGAAGACGGTTGCATGCACACTCTGTTAGGAACTTAGCGGATTACCACGACAATAAGGTACCTCACGAGTGTTCATTGCTAGGGTGAGAACGGTATCTATAGCTTCGTGGGAGGACCAAGGGTTCCTGACCAGTTCTTACTACCCTTAGCCATATCGCATGGGAAATGTGTCCCCACATCGTACAGCCCATTAGCTGCATGGGAACGAGTTGGGTCGCGCCCCCCATAGGGGAACATGGGCTTAGGGGTATTCAGCACACCCCTAGGCTAGATACCATGTAGTCCCAGATGGACTTGTAGAGATAGCGCCTCATAGAGAGATACCGACCATATCAGCTTGGCGTAAGGGACCTCTAGGCGTCTAATGAAAGGACGATGAACCGGTGAAACCCAAGGGGCAAGCTATAAGGGACTAAGATTAGAACCAGATGTCCTAGAACCGAATTAGGAAACCGTGGGAACCTGTTAAGTTAGGATGCGAAGAGAGCCTATAAGTAGGTGGCTTACTGAGTATAATTTTTTACGCTCATCCTTGCTATGTTTTCCTTTTTCAGGAGCGCGAGGCGTCGATTTAGGGCGGGCGTGATGGAGACAGGGATTGTCATAGAGGAATGGTTTGTCCCGAGGTGTCAGTCCAGTCTTTATTTTGTATTTGCATTCTTTCGAAATTTATTTCCAAACTGTTAAGTGTTCTATTGGTTTGTCATGCAAAAACTTTATTAAAATTAAAGGATTTTTTCTATTTCAATTTAAATCACTTTGTGCATTCATGTGTTGTCATTAGTCACGGTCCATAGTAAAACTATCATAAATCTCTACAGGACCTATAACCCGAAGAGGGGTGGAATGTGATGTCCCATATTGGTTGGGAAGGATAACAAATCACCCTTTATAAGGGTGTGGAAACCTTCCTCTAGCAGACGCATTTTAAAACCTTGAGGGAAACCCAAAAGGCAAAGCCCAAAGAGGACAATATTTGCTAGCAGTGGATTTGGGCTGTTACAAATGGTATCAAAGCAAGACACCGGATGATGTGTTAGCCCTCTCGTTGTTCCCCGAAGGGGGGTAGACACGAGGCGGTGTGCTAGTAAGGACGCTGGGCTCTAAAGGGGGGTGGATTTGGTGGTGGTGGTCCCACATTGATTGGAGAAGGAACGAGTGCCAGCAAGGACGCTGGGCCCCGAAATGGGTGGATTGTGATGTCCCACATTGGTTGCCCAAAGAAAACAATATCTGCTAGCAGTGGATCTAGGCTGTTACAAATTTTGATTTGGGGGCGGTCCCACATCGATTGGAGGAAGGAAAGAGTGCCAGTGAGGACACTGGGCCCTGAAGGGAGGTGAATTGTGATGTCCCACATTGGTCGGGGAGGAGAACAAATCACCCTTTATAAGGGGAAGCCCGAAAGGGAAAGCCTAAAGAGGACAATATCTGCTAGCGGTGGATCTGGGCGGTCCCACATCGATTGGAGGAAGGAAAGAGTGCTAGCGAGGACGCTGGGCCCCGAAGAGGGGTGGATTGTGATGTCCCACATTGGTTGGGGAGGAGAACAAATCACCCTTTATAAGGGTGTGGAAACCTTCCTCTAGCAGACGTGTTTCAAAGCCTTGAGGGAAAGCCCGAAAGGGAAAGCCGACGCTGGGCCCCGAAGGGGGGTGGATTGTGATGTCCCACATTTGTTGGGGAGGAGAACAAATCACCCTTTATAAGGGTGTGGAAACCTTCTAGCAGACGTGTTTCAAAGCCTTGAGGGGAAGCCCAAAAGGGAGCGGTCCCACATCGATTGGAGGAAGGAAAGAGTGCTAGCGAGGACGCTGGGCCCCGAAGGGGGGTGGATTGTGATGTCCCACATTGGTTGGGGAAGAGAACAAATCACCTTTTATAAGGGTGTGGAAACCTTACTCTAGCAGACGTGTTTCAAAGTCTTGAGGGGAAGCCCGAAACGAAAAGTCGATGCTAGGCCTCGAAGGGGGGTGGATTGTGACGCTGGGCCCTGAAGGGGGGTGGATTGTGATTACCACATTGGTTGGGGAGAGAACAAATCACCCTTTATAAGGGTGTGAAAACCTTCTAGCAGATGTGTTTCAAAGCCTTGAGGGGAAGCCCGAAAGGAAAAGTCGACGCTGGGCCCCGAAGGGAGGTGGATTGTGATGTCCCACATTGGTTGGGGAATATTCAAAGCCTTGAGGGGAAGCCCGAAAGGAAAAGTTGACGCTGGGTCTCGAAGGGGGGTGGATTGTGATGTCCCACATTGGTTGGGGAATATTCAAAGCCTTGAGGGGAATCCCGAAAGGAAAAGTCGACGCTGGGCCCCGAAGGGGGGTGGATTGAAAGCCGTCAATCCATCCATTAGAAGCCCAATCCCCTCGAGGGAAAAAGCCAAAGAGGACAAATAATCCCCTCGAGGGAAAAAGCCAAAGAGGACAAATCACACAAAGTGTGAAAACCTTCTCATGGATGGATTGACAGCTTTCAAAGCCTTGAGGGAAAAAGCCCAATCCCCTCGAGGGAAAAAGCCAAAGAGGACAAGGCAAAAAGCCAAGCCCAATCCCCTC